TCTGAATAAAACTTAAAGCAAGAAGAGAATAGACTCATCAAGAGTCTGTAGCATGAGCAGGTGGATATACATTTTTTTATTGCTGCCCAGTTAAGTCTGAGTACATTGCAGAGCTAACTTTATTTTTGTTGTAAATAGAAGACTATAAATCCGAATACTACTTAAATGCGGATGATTTACTTTCTAGGAATTGCAATTGCAATTGTGAAATGACTTTCATTTCGTATGAAAGTGGATGATGAAGAGATTCTTCTTCTTCTTCCTCTTTTTCTTGACTTATTATTAACAAAAGACTTTTTCAGGAATGCGTCCCAGCTCTGATGATATCTGTCAGATGACGAACAAAAGATCACCCGAAATAAGAGAGGATGCCTAGTGGAATGTGTCAACCGAAATGTCGTATTCAAGCCAAACGATTGCAGTTCAACAGGAATATCTTCATCATGTACTTTCATACGAAATGAAAGTCTACCCAACAATGTTACCCAAATATGAAGCAGTAGTCATTCGAATGTTCTTGACCGTGCTTTTTGATGCCGAAATGGCATCTTTGGCTAAATAACTAGGACATTAGCGGTATATGATATTAGATCCCGAAGTTGATATCTACAAAAATAACCACAAAATTCTGGTTCACTGGTTATAGTCGTTGCTGACTTGCACTTTCCGGCAAAAAAGCACTTCATTGCTGGCCACCCACCAGCAAGGCACAACTGCATGTGTATGGGGAAACATTGTGGAAATAAGTGGGGATTTTCAGTTTAAGTCTCGTTTAAGAAAAGGTTTAAAAAAATAACCCCAACATTCAGTTTTTCAATTGAGTCCTACCGACTTATATTTTGGGAACCAATCGAGTGCAACTCGGCTTTTTGCCCTCTATGACCCTCCTCATTAAAGTCAACTGGCTTTATTCGACAATAATATTTTCAAAGGTATGAATACCAAGATGGTATGGTCTTTAGTCTATTAAGCTACAAAATACTCGGTTAGACTCTGAAAAGTATCATGTTTACTATGGCCTCCGAACAAGATGGGTTCGCCTAGGTCTTTCTGTCTATATGACGGAGTTGCGAAAGCAAGTTCAAACAACTTCAAATGATATTTTCTGTTCGGTACTTTTGTAGAGAAATTCGTCAAATGTATTAAATTTGCCATTAGGTAAATCATCCTTACCAGACAAGTGTAACCAGTCCGATCGTGTAGGTGTTAAAGCTGGACAATTATTGGCGAAAATAGTTGTCTCAGACTCGTTTGATCTCACATCTTTGCTTCAGCAAGTTAGCATGACAACAAGATGGTGGGCAAGTTGTAAAGACAAGAGGTAATCTAGTGAGTGACAAAATTATGGGGATAAACAACTTACCCTGACGTAATCGGACAGGACAGGATAGGAAAGTTCTGTCTTAATTATCATTTGACGCCCTACCAAAATACTAATAGTGGAGACTATTGAAAATAGTAGTGGAGATTCAGTTTGAGTATTATAAATCACTTTTAAAATAAGGTAATGTTACTCAATGAATATGGTCATTTTATCAACAAACTTGAGCACATGCAACAAATAAAAGTGTGTAAACATCGCTTGTGTGAGGCCTAGAATTTATGGCTTGCCCTACATCTTTATTTTTATTCCTTACCATTCCATCATGTCGGATGCGAATCTTGCGTAAATGACCAACTGCTTCTAGCTCGATTGGTATGGTATCATCAGAGTCTCGTTCAAATCGGTTTTCCATCTTTTCAAGTGCCAATTCGCGGGATGTACCATCTAATCCGAACAGTTGAATGTAGACGGTACAATCAGTTCCTGCGCCCTCCACGTTGGCTGTCTTGATCGTCAAAGTATAGGGGATCACTGTTGTCAAGCGATCAAGTTAAAAGTGATTAATATTTAATCCGCGTAATTATTTGAAAATACATTAGATCGGGTACTGATAGTTAAAACGAGATCAAAAAGGTTTGCGATTTATAATGGAGTAAAATATGCCTCGGCATTTCACCGTTGAAAGTGCACATGCTAGCCTCAAAGCTCACATAAATGAATGATGATGAACGCATAGTAGAAGTTTAAAGTATTGCTTAAATTATATAAAACGTAAGTTTTATATGAAGGTTTCTGATGAAGTTATTCGTAGGTCGATCTCATCAGAAGACGACAGCAGATTTTCGTTACCGTTTGGCTTGAATGCGACGTTCAGTTTAATGGAGTCGACGAGACATCCTCTCTCGTTTCTAGGAAAAATGGGCTAAGTTTTCGTTCGGCCTATGATAAGTCTCATCAGAGCTGGGACTCGTACTTTCAAAACTCCCTATATTCATAATTGTTGAGCTTACTGGTACATTCCCAGACGTTTCGCCGTGTTTGATCATAAACGTGATCCTTGAATCGTGACTATTGTTAGCCAACCAGCTCTAGCTTCCACTGTTTATATCCTCTTTCTATCTCTAATACCAAGTCTATGATTTGCTATGCCCTAGTCCCTTGTGTGCCAACCCACAAAC